GAGTCCCTCTCCCTTCCAAGGCCACCTTTCAGCCGATTTTAAACCGCCACAGATCCAACAGTTAGATAGACCTAATTCTGTGGCTATTTCTTGCATTAGGTCTAAGAAAAGATTCTGATTGGGGGCTGGTAGTCCCCAGTTACTGTATTGTTTTTCTAATTGCTCATAGTGCTCGCTAAGAGAGTTAAGTTTCTCTCTTTCTAGTCTCCTTTTCCGAATTTCTACTTCTTGCCTTTTTAATTCTAGGGTTAGTTGCTTTATTTTGCTTTCAGGGTTCATCCCTTCCTCATCTCTGGAGAAGCAGAACACTTGATCAAATTGTAAACATACTTGGTCATCATCACTTTTTAACAAATCAAGAATTATTGGTTCATTACTAAAGGAGGCTTTTTCTTCATGTTTTAAATTTTTACCTTCCCAATACAATTTTCCTCCTATGGTACACGTTTTTAAGTTTGCTTTATTGTAACACAAAGGGTTGACTTTGTAATATGCTAAAAAGGTGGATTGTCTTCTTCCTCCTATCCAGACAGTTTTGTTGCATTGGCTACAGATTGGAATTGGAGGAAGTCCTACTCTTCCTACTCAAGTCCTACTAACAACTGATTCAGCAGCCCGAACCACGGAGAAGGGATGGACACATGCCAGTCGAATTAAAGGACCTGTGGAGCCACCAAAAACTAATAACTGGGAAGTGGTTAGCCCGGCTGGGAACCTGAGACTTAAAATATCCCTAAAAAAATAACATCTGAAAATTATTAATCTGCTTAGAAACTTATGAATAGTAAACTCCATAAAGGCTTTTATATAGAATATAAGATACCCCCATCTAGTAGTGAGGAAATATATAATAGTAATGTTAAAATAGGTTGTGCTGTATGCCAGAATTGTTACCCTTTTGTTTGTTTTAAATGTATAGTATGTGAAGAACATTGATGGACCCACTGTCATAGAGGCTACCCACCGAGAGGGGTGTGTAGATTTTGCTACATTGCCCAGATGAGAGTCTTGAGTCTCTACTTCTCTTTTATACCTGAGGTGGTGTCCTGGGTTGCAGTATATTCTATCACCATCCTCATGTACTGTTGAAACCAGGTGAGGCAGTGCTCCCTGCC